ATGAGTAACACAGTGGATGCTGAAGCCCAGACATCACTTTATCAATGGGATATTTTCATTCCCTATGTGTCTTACAGTTTATAAAACTGAAATGATTTCAAGCATTTTCTCCCACTTGGTTTGTAATGAAAGGTTAGAGTCACAATATGCTCTCCATTCATCAGAATGCTTCCTACTGTTTTTGTAAGCTTGCAATGAAAAAAGTTTGTTTTGAGCTGTGCTTCTAAGAGAGAGTGGGCGGGAAGTAGTTTCTATATTTAAGAATTATTCTGAATATGGCCTGAATCAATAATGAAAATGCAATGGCAAATGAGCTCATTCAAGAATAGTATGCAGTACGTCATGATCATTGGCTGCTATGCTATAACATCTATGTTAATCTATGTTAATGATAACTTACATTAGCATAAGTGCTTGGGAGTTTTTCCAGATGGCTAAAAAGACTGCCTATGATTCACCTTTATGTTTCCATAGTACACTGAATGCAGTAGGTGCTAACTACGTATATGTCAAACAGATGATTTCAAAGTATATTTTCATATCCATTTTAATCCTTACCACATGAGCATACTGAGGTATAAGAATGTCAGGCTCTTTTTCACCACCAGCACTGCAGAAGCATGGCTAAATATTAACATTTAAATACATGAATTATTTAAATGTTAGAAGTCAAACTAAGACCAAATCCTGGCTCTGCCACTGTATTACTTTGCTACAGCTGATATATAAAAGCATCACCAACTAGGCAGTTTAAATAACAGAAATTTATTTTCTCAGAATTATGGAGGCTAGTAGTCCAAGATGAAGGTTTTAGGAGGGTTGGTTTGTGGTGACAGCTCTTTTCCACCTTGCAGAGGGCCACCTTCCCCATGCCCTCACATGCTCTTTCCTCAAGGCATCTGCATGTCTGTGTCTTAATCTTTTCTTATAAGGACATCAGTCACACTGGTTTAGAGCCAACCCATATACCCTTCATCTACCTAAATTAGCTCTTAAGTGCCCTATCTTCAAACAGAGTCACATTCCGAGGCACTGGAGATTAGAGAAAGAGGACAAAATTCAGCTCATGACAGAGACTTGGCGATAGGACAATATTAACTCAGTGTGTTTCCTCCTGTTTGCCCACAGGATTTGTACCACTTTCTTGATTTATATAATCTGGATCTTAATCCTTGATATCTACATATTTTCCTCAAGTACTGATTTAATTATGGTGATTTTTTTTTATTCCTACAGAAGGTTTTCATTTTCATGTACTCAAAATAATCAATATTTTGTTTTATAACTCATGTTTTGAGGCTTATTTAAGAAAGGACTTCCTTTTTCAAGGCTATAAACATAACTTCATATTTTCTTCTAATATAACCAAATTTTATGCTCACATCTTTAATTCATTTGTCTGATGTTTGATGAATGATTTCAAGTAGGACAAAAACTATTGTTTTTTTTTTCCAAATGACCTGTTCCCCAAACATTTCCGGAACCAAGTAATTTTCCCTCTACTAGTGTTTTCCACAGATGTGTCCTCACTGTCTCATCTGCAGGTCTGTCCTTGTCATACTTCAGTCCATGTTCCATCCCCAGCAAACCACAGGGACCGATCATGACAAGGGCACCAATGACTCCCAATGTTGCCAAAGGCAGTGGTCACTTCTCTGTCCTCATCCCACTCAACCTTTCGGCATGTTGCACGCAAGTCACAGCTCTCCTTTGGAGTGCTTTCTTTCCTTGGCTTCCTTAACCTCACACTGTCTTGGGTTTTGTCCCAGTGATACTGGCTACTCTTTTTTAGTTACTATTGTTGGCTCTAATTCTTTGTCCTCATTTTATTGTTTTTGCACACACCATTTTTGAAATATATATTATAGTTGTAAATGATTTGGAGGAACAAGGGGCCATACAAAATCGCCAAGGCTGAGTTTCTCAAAAAAATCTCAAGCTACTTTGAATGTTAATTGAGTGGTTAATCAAATAATATCCTATAAAGGAAACTATCCAGACTAAAATGGTGAAGTAATGAGCTCCATTTTAAACTTTAGACCGCTCTGGGACTCACTTCACAGTGCCTCTGTTTCTCTATTCACACCTTCTTTAGACCATGTCATCTGGTTTCATGTCCTTAAATAATATTGATATGCCCCTGAGAGCCTAATCTCCTTGTCCATCCCTGACTCCTCCCCAGAACTCTAGACCCCTTTGGTTTTCTTCCTGCTTAACATCACCACAATGATATCTCATAAAGATCTTAAACTCAACATGTCTGAATCAAAACTCTCAACTCCCCTTCTCTGAAAGCTTCTCTCATCAACCTTGTTTATCCAACCAAAAATCTAGTCTGTCCTCTTGATTCCCTTCCTTAGTGTCTGAAATCCTATTATACCATCCAATTCTTTCAACTCTACCTCACCAGTAGGACATCTGATCTCTATACCCCAGGAAGGTCCTTCCTAGTCCAAACTACCATCATCTCTCCAGGAGACTTCTGCACTACTCTTCCAACATGATGCCTCAAGACCCATTCTTCACAGTAATTCTTGTCTAGCCTTTACCAGATCATCGCACTTCCATGGCGAAATGCTTTAGCTGGCTCACACTGCACTTAGAATAACACTGAGACCCATTAGCCAAGCCTACAAAGCCAACTTGGTCTGTACTTTACATTCTCATGATTTTTTGTTTTATAACTGGAAGTGTGTACAATTGACTCCCTCCAGTCATGAGGAAGTTGTACTAATCCTGCACTAATTCCACTGGCATACCTTCCTTCAGCTCTGAGCAGGACTCAAGCCTAAAATCACAACTGTCTCAGATTAAATATTACTTCTGGAAAGATGCCTCTCCTATCTAATAAAACTTCATTTACCCTGTATGAGTCCCTTGCTCTAATCCTCTGCAGAATACTAGCGATGTTGTTTACTTTTTCATTGGTCTTTTACCTGTAATTTCTTACTAGAATGCAAGTTCTCTAAGAGCTACAATGCACCCTCATCCTCTTATAAAGTACATGGCATATAATAAGTGCTCAATCAATATTTGGGTTCAGTTTTTAAAACTTCAATCAATTCCATGGATATATTTGTCTACTTTTGCGCACTGTTTTTATACATTGCTTTACTATAGCTTTAGCAGATATTTTAACATCTAGTAGAGTAAGAACTACCCTATCACACACAGTCTTTTTCAAAACTGTTTTTTCTACGGTTCTTAAATATCTATTTTACATAAATTTTAGACTCAGCTTATTATGTGGCATGCTAAATCCTCTTGGAATTTTTACTGGTATTGCTCTGAATTTATAAAGATGGGTTTGAGAAAAATTAACATCTATTTCATATTGAGGCTTTCAATTAAAAACATGGTATATTTCTCCACTTATTTTAAACATTATTTTCGTGTCCTTTAATTTTAGTTTCCTTTTCATTAATTTTGAAGTTCTTCATGGGTAATTTGTAGGTTTTTTAAAAAACTGTTGGGAATGTATGTTGGGAAACAGTGTATAAGACAATTATTTTATCCATATCTTACTGAGGCCTTTTATTTGATCAAATAATTTATAGGGTTTTGGGGGTTTTTTTGGACAGATGGTCAAATTATTTTCATAGGAAGCTTCTTCAACTTTTGTAGATATCATATTGCACTGGTTGAGAATCTCCAGAAAAGTGCTCACTAGCAATATTAATGTTGGGTTCCTGTTTTGCTCCATGTTTTCATGGAACCACCATAAACTGATATCTGCTCTAGATTTTGGGCAAAAACTCTTTATCATATATACAGGTTCCTATGTAGAGTTTCTAAAATTTAAAAAATACCTTTTTAAACACTGTTTTTAAGAAATTGACTTTATAATAAGGAAAACATGAAAACCGCTAAGAGGTTAAGGGCAATCTTACAGAGTTTAAATAAGAACAATTCCTAACTGTTCAGCTTTTTTTATGAGGCAGAGAGAGCATTCATACTTCTGATACTTTATTCCTAACCATCACAGTACTTCCACAAGACAGAATATTTTTCACAATTTTAGAAATGAGGAAATCTTGACTCAGAGATTCAAGCAATTTATCATAGGTCACAAATCTAATAAGCAATTATGCAAGGATTTATGCCCAACTATATCTAGCTCCAGAGCCCACACTCCTCCCACTGTATTACATATTTAATATGAGATATTAGACCAAGTCTCTCAACATGCCCTAGCAGAAAAGATAATAAATGTGTACTGGGTTTATGGGTTAATTAATAACCACACCCCCTAAATGTCTATCTCAATGTCAATTGAGAAGAAGATTTCAAAGTAAAAAGTCATAAAGATTTACTACAGAGACCTAACTGTCACTAACAGCAGTATTTTTTAAATGAATATTTTATATCAAGGCAAAGAGGGCAAAAAGACATGACCAAATAAGTAGGTTTGTTAAAACAATGAGGTATAGATCAGAGATTCAAAAGTATCTAAAGAGCTAAAATGTTGGATCAAAGCAAGAAATTTCCAAATGGTTAGAGGTGAGGTTTGACCTTTAGGTTCAAAAAAATCAAATGCACATAATAAATAAGATGAGAATAACCACAACCCTTGTGAAAAAGATCTATTGGTTTAAACCAAAAGCAAATTGTGTACAATATGATTCCCAAGTATATTCAATTCAATTTCAATATGCATGGATATCAATGTGATTGAACACAGCAAGAGATTAATAGTACCACTCTATATCTGGAAATGCATATTTAGTTATAGAAATTATATTTAATTTGGTCATAGCCTAGTAAGGATACAAGTTACTACCAGATTTTTTTTTTCATCAAGTCCAGGATGAAGAAAAAGTCACATGCAATAAGGAATTCCAACACTCTCCATGATTGGGTTAGATAATTATTTGGGAATAGGAAGTCCGTAAAACAATACACTTCTTGTGGGCTCAACCTCATCAGAACAGAAACAGCCTCCAATTTTAAAAAAATCACCATCACATCTTTGTGTAATCTGTGTTCCTATCTGTACTTACTGCTACTCCTGTCTTATAGAGGAGGTAATGCACAGTCTGTGTGACGTCAGCAGCATGCATCAAATTGTGGTAAGGATTTTTGTGCTTGCTGTATCCCACTTCCAGGGCCTCCACAAATGAGACAAGTGCAGAAATGGGGATCTGAAAGAGAGTGGCAAGGTTAATTGGCTAGTGATTTAGTAGCTTTGAGAGACCAAAAAAGTCTAAGGTATTCTAACTACCTCTTTCTGAAAGCATTAAGAGAGCACACAAGGATACAAGAACTTTTCAAAGTTAATAAAAATCACTGAACAAAGTATTGGATAATTTGAAAATCGAACAGGAAGTCCCTGGTCTGCCCTGCAAATTGTTCTTTGTTCTCCAGTTCAGAGGCCCAGGGTAATGACAGGATCATCTCAAGGACATGGAGGGCAAAAAGGCAGTGTTCACTTAAGTCTTGCTTCAAAATGTTTCTTACACAGAGATAAGTGTGAATGATGCCAGTTCTTGGGAACTGTAGTTAGGTGGGGACCATATAACTTTGGGTAGACCTGATTTTAACCAGGTATTTTGTCATACACCACTGGAGATTTTGTTGTAAGAAAGCATAAGATTCATAGTTATTGCTCTTATTGAAATCATTGGACTGGCATAGTGAGTTCTATCCCTTCTAGGAAAGCAATGTCTTTTCCCAGATGGGATCATCACAGAAAGGTAAAGGTCATTACTCAAGGTCACATAGCTACTGGGTCAGAACTGACATCAGGATCCAGGTGATCTCCTGAATCTCATTCTAGTGTCTGGTCTACCAGACATGGTATTAGCCTTTGAGCGTCAAACAGGCTTCTGATGCAAAAGAAATTAAAGACCATTGTCATAAAGTGCTTATGACTATTAAGAAATACACTCCTAAATGTGCAGTCCTTAGGAAAGTGATAAAGAATCATGCTGCCCAGACAAATTGATACAGAAAAAGACCTGCATTTTCTGGATACTTATTCGTTGATGAGAGAAATGTGAGGGGCATGATTCGGCAGATGCCAGCAGATAATGCTCAGGTTCCCTAGAGAATGGGACCCCGCCTTCAGAGTCTGCGGAATTAGAAGGCTGAGGAGGTGGAACACTGGAATTGGCTCATGCTCTTAAAGTTGAAGAATTAATTTAAAACATAAATAGTTGGGAAATATCAATGATCTATCATAGATGATAAGTGAGAGTATTTGTGTGAATTTGAGCCAAGTGGCCGAAAGAGAAGTTCATGGAGACAATAAATGCACGTTCTTATCTCCATTCCTGTCTCCTTGCCAGTGGTGGTCATTAGTACACTGAGTCCGGCTGAAAGGAGAACTATAGGCAGAGCAGGCAGGTAGGTCTGGTTCAGGCTTCCAGCTGTACTTCTAGGAAGACTGGGATCTAAATAGGCAGCTCCAGCCTCACCCTTGATGGGAACACCAGGCAAGGGAGTAATGAAAGTTCCCATCAGTGTGGAGTTTGTGGCAGTGGCTTTCTGGACAAGTAACCCCAGAGCAGCTTTCAGTCTACATTAGAAGGATTCTCTTGGTCTTAGCCCAAAAGTCCCGCAAGGCTGGACAAACATGCGCAGTTATTTGTTTGTTTGTTTTTTACTTAGACACTGACCTTGAAACGACTGATCAAATCATAGCGAGTAAGTAACTCATAGAAAATGAATTTCAGTGCATGGTCCCCACTGGCTTCATTGAGGGAAAAGACATCAAAGGACCACTTGTCCACATCCTACAGGTCAGGGCAGAAAGAAAAGAATTCATTAGTTGGTAGCCACTTATATTTATCTTCCTACTTTGGGGTTAGCCTGTAGCCCTAACTTGGTAATTCACAGTCTGACTCCAATACTGTTTCCCCTCTCAAACTTTTTCCAATATGGCAATCCTGCATAGCATTTGCTGATAAAATATGAAATAGCCTTATTAGTAAAAACAAGAGCTATAATTTACTGGGTACATACCTAGGCATTATGATCAATGATAAATATATAATTCATCCTGAAAACAAGTCTTGTGGTAGGTATTATCAGTCATATCTCACAAATGAGAAAACTGAGAAGTTAGCTAATTTCCCTAAGATTCATAAAAGGCAAGTGTTAGGAACACATGTGGGGCAAAACCACAAACACACACACACGTTCAACTGAAGTTTAAACTCAAGCTCTTTCCATTAACCTTCCACTACTTCTGCTGAATTCCAAAGTTTTAATTGACTTCACAATAACCAAGGGTATTCCCTACCCCAAACCAGGCCTGTAATACCATCTACTGACTTCCTCTTAGTCCATTGTGGAGAATGTTAACCCACTTAAAAGTGTTCAGAAACATGCAAGATACAGAACACAAAACAATGTGTCACCTCAAGAATTTAATCTGCTAAGCTGAAACCAAGGAGAAAGCCTTCATTCCACAGGATGGAAAAATGTTATCACTTCTGGAGTCACTGATCTGAAGACCGAGTCCTCAAATCTGTAAGTTATTTTACTGGAAAATATAAAACTAAGAGCTAAGCTGAACACACTCCTCACACACTACTCTTAAAGTTCAGAGTTTTATTTGCCCATAAAATAGTGACTTCAAAATATATGTAAACACTGTCAAATACGTCTTTGACTTATAAATAGCTACTTGTGGGTGTTATAAACAAAGGCATGTTTAAGAAATAATTAAAGCAATAGTCATTTGGTTTCTCAGCATATCAAGAGTTTCATTTCAGTGGTTAAGGAAAGTGTATTGCCATGAGCATGACAATAAGGACGCATGTGAGATCACACTGAACCTAAGCTAGGTGTCAGATGGTCTCCTGGAAGAGACCTTGGCTTAGGAACGGCTGGACCCAGTGACTTCCACAACAGCCTTCACTGCATCCCAGCATCACCTATCCATCCCAATCCTGTTCCTCTCCAAAGATCCCAATCATGAAGATCACCCTGAGATCACGAAGGGTCTCTCTCATGGATACCAGGGCACAGGGAAAACAAACTGTATATAGGGAAAATCAAACATTTCCAAAAAGGTTTCAAATAGGTTGTTTCAATTCATATTTAGTAGTAAACCTCACCTTAGCCTTCAATAATTTCTCCTCCATTATAATAAATAAAGAAATAGCCACAAGTGCTAAACATTTTCTGTGTCAGGCACAGTAGTAACTATTGATACACATTTGCAAACCCTTATAACCCTAAAAATGTGTATCACTTTCTCCAGTTTCATAGGTGGCCACCCCATCTCTCATAGAGAGATGAAATGAAGTGTCTAATGCCAATACCAGGCAATAACTCCACTGATGCCCCAGTGATAGCATCACTAACAGATGACATTGTAAACTCAATGAATATGTGCTGTGACCCAAGCCTTAGGCCCTAAATACCCCAAGAGTGCCTAGGCCACAGACAGTGGAGCCATTTAAGATTAATCCAAGAACCCAAGGTTCACCTTGAAAGTGAAAGCTGCTCAGTTGTGTCTGGCTCTTTGTGACCCCATGGACTATACAGTCCATGGACTTCTCCAGGCCAGAATACTGGAGTGGGTAGCCTTTCCCTTCTCCAAGGGATCTTCCCAACCAGGAATCAACCCCAGGTCTCCTGCAATGCAGGCAGATTCTTTACCAGTTGAGCCACAGGGGAAGTCCAAGAATACTGAAGTGGGTAACCTATCCCTTCTCCAGCAAATCTTCACAACCCAGCGATCGAACCGGGATCTCCTGCAATGCAGGCAGATTCTTTACCAACTGAACTATCAAAGAAGCCCTAAGGTTCACCTTGGCTACCAAAATTGGCACTGTCATGACAGCCATTGTCCAGCTATTAGTCCTAAAGAAAAGTCCACTGACAACTCAGTAGGTAGGAAAACATTTGGTCACATCTGACAATTTTTAATGCTCTTCATGTAAATGAATAAAAGAAGAAAAAAGCTATCACTGGAAATGAAGAGATAATCATAGTAAAAAGTCAAGATTTATTCTGAATATTAGGTCTTAGAGAAACAGAAGGATGTGTAAATACAGACCGTGAGATGGATAGTCTCTTTAGCCCCTCATTTTTTGGACATTTTAGCTGCGATTCTCAAATTTCAGTGCTCTTTATTTAGAACCACCTGGGGTGCTCAGAAAAAAATGTTGATTCTTTGGTGGAGGATTCTGAAGAATCCTGGCTTGTGGCCTAGAATCTGCATTTTAACAAGCACCTAATTTAACTGCCTTAAACCAATCTTCTCTTCTTAGCAAATTTGGCCCAAGCACCAGTCCTGTGAATTTCCTATTAGTCTAGTGTGAAGGAAGCCTGAACCTCCTCATTTCCTCTCCCTTTAAACCTGGAGTCTGTCCAGGGTGTCTCTTCCTGAGTCACACAGCATATGCCCTCCTAAAGAACAGCACAATTCTCCATTCCTGATAACCCCACCTTAGAAGATTAGAGATAAAACAACCCAAATTAGAAGCTAGTATTCACTGCATGGAAACAAATAAAAAGAACAAAAGTGCAACATATTTCAAATTTAGAGATTGGTGGTGACTAATTATTCTCTTCCTTAAATGTTATTTTATGCTATGTTCTTACATTAATCACAAAGGTTAACATGACAGTAGCAGGATGATTATTTTATTCATTGTATTCTCTCAGGCTTTGGGGAAATTTTCTGTAGTAGAAGAAAACAATAGTGATTCCATATAAATTGCTGGCAGCAGAGTGAAAATAATCTTTTTCTAATAAGGTTTCTATGTAAAAAAAAAAAAGAATCTATGTCATCTCTCCAGTTCAACTCCAATCCACTGAAAATAAAACCAGAGTCTAGGGACACAGAAAAACATTACATTGTAAAAAGGTCTTGAACTTCCACAGTAAACAGAGCATACAAGGAAGAGAAACAATAGCTTCAGCCTTCTGCACTGCATTAGCAATGGTGTGGAGAAGGGCACCAATTCAGAGTTAGCATTTATTCCGAATCATCAAGGTAACTTTCCCCTCCGAAAGAAAACATGTGTGCTTCTGAGAATTACTTTTCTCTCCAGATGTTCAGGCTGGTTTTAGAAAAGGCAGAGGAACCAGAGATCAAATTGCCAACATCCGCTGGAGCATCGAAAAAGCACGAGAGTTCCAGAAAAACATCTATTTCTGCTTTATTGACTATGCCAAAGCCTTTGACTGTGTGGATCACAGTAAACTGTGGAAAATTCTGAAAGAGATGGGAGTACCAGACCACCTGACCTGCCTGTTGAGAAACCTGTATGCAGGTCAGGAAGCAACAGTTAGAACTGGACATGGAACAACAGACTGGTTCCAAATAGGAAAAGGAGTATGCCAAGGTTGTATATTGTCACCCTGCCTATTTAACCTCTATGCAGAGTACATCATGAGAAACGCTGGGCTGGAAGAAGCACAAGCTGGAATCAAGATTGCTGAGAGAAATATCAATAACTTCAGATATGCAGATGACACCACCCTTATGGCAGAAAGTGAAGAAGAGCTAAAGAGCCTCTTGATGAAAGTGAAAGAGGACAGTGAAAAAGTTGACTTAAAGCTCAACATTCAGAAAATGATGATCATGACATCTGGTCTCATCACTTCATGGGAAATAGATGGGGAAACAGTGAAAACAGTGTCAGACTTTATTTTTCTGGGCTCCAAAATCACTGCAGATGGTGATTACAGCCTTGAAATTAAAAGACGCTTACTCCTTGGAAGGAAAGTTATGACCAACCTAGAATATTAAAAAGCAGACATTACTTTGTCAACAAAGTAACAAAAAGCCTTGTCTAGTCAAGGCTATGGTTTTTCCAGTGGTCATATATGGATGTAAGAGTTGGACTTTGAAGAAAGCTGAGCACTGAAGAATTGATGCTTTTGAAGTGTGGTGTTGGAGAAGACTCTTGAGAGTCCCTTGGACTGCAAGGAGTTCCAACCTGTCCATCCTAAAGGAGATCAGTCCTGGGTGTTCATTGGAAAGACTGATGCTAAAGCTGAAACTCCAATACTTTGGCCACCTGATGCGAAGAGCCGACTCATTGGAAAAGACCCTGATGCTGGGAAAGATTGAGGGCGGGAGGAGAAGGGGACGACGGAGGATGAGATGGCTGGATGGCATCACCGACTCGATGGACATGAGTTTGAGTAAACTCCGGGAGTTGGTGATGGACAGGCAGGCCTGGCGTGCTACGATTTATGTGGTCGCAAAGAGTCGGACACGACTGAGCGACTGAACTGAACTGAAGCATAAAATAACAATTCATGCACATCACAGGTTGTTTCATATTTCTTCAGTCATTCTGTATAGAAAAGAAGCTCCATTTTGTAAGAAATATTTTCATAAATTTCTTAGTACTGGTAAAACCACCTGTATATATTTTCACAATAAAGGAAGAAATTAAGGATAAAGATGCTTTTAAAATTCCTAAGACTTTCACTGAAGGTTTCAGATTCAATTATGAAAATCAATGCAACTTCACAGTGGGTGTTATGAAACATCAGATCTTATAAAGTGGTTTCACAGATTAAATAAATGTTGCTGTGAATTACACAAAGATTTATCGAGCATTAGAGTTGAGGTTGTAGAGGAGGGAGAGAAAACATGTATCTTCTTGCTGTATCTTTCCTGAGCACCCTTCCTGTCCTAGATGACTTGACAAGAAAGAAAATGGCGAACTGAGAATCTGAATACAGAAGCTCCCGAAGTCAGCTAGTGAATGTCCCTGAGACAAGAGAAAGGGACTATGAAATATAAAATCAAACTAGCCCTAAAGGGCACTTTCTTGACATTAAATTGATCTGATTCTGTGAATAGGGAATTTAAATTATATTCTGAAAATTCCATCAGGGATACACTTTTCAGGTTTCAGAGAAAGACTAAAGTAGCTTTGTAGTTGTTGTTCAGTCATTAAGTCATGTCTGACTCTCTGCAGTCCCATGGATTATTGCCTGTCAGGCTCCTCTGTTCATGAAATTCCCCAGGCAAGAATACTGGAGTGAGTTGCCATTTCCTTCTCCAGGGGATCTTCCTGCACCAGGGATCAAACCCATGTCTCTTGCATTGGCAGGTGCATTCTTTACCATTGAGTCACCAGGGAAGCCCATTTAACAAGAGTCAAAATGCTGGAACCGCTTTGACTAAGCTGACATGACTCAATGTGTAGGCACCAGGCAATGTCAACCAGTTCTGTGATCCTGGGCCTTAGCACAGCCCCTAAATTTAAAAGACCAGCGAGTCTGAATCTACACACACATACAAAAATACATCTACACAAGGGCTTCCCTTGTGGCTCAGTTGGTAAAAAATCTGCCTGCAATGTGGGAGACAAGGGTTAGATACCTGGGTTGGGAAGATCCTCTGGAGAAGAGAAAGGCTACCTGCTCCAATATTCTGGCCTGGAGAATTCCATGGACTATATAGTCCATGGTGCCGCAAAGAGTCGGACACAACTGAGTGACATACACTTTCACTTTCAAGGGCTCTTAGAGATATTCTATACAATTCCAAGAGCTTGTCTGATTGGGAGTCATTCTGTAGGGTTTAAACTCTTTAAACTCAAGCTTCTGTATGACTTTCCATGGAACTTTCAGGTTTTGTGAGAGTTTTGGAAAACAGTAGGATACATGAAGAGGATGAGGGCTGTGGAGAACATACTTTCATGCATAAAATGTTACCGAGAGCTTACTATCCGCCTATAACTCTGGTATCAAACCTTAGTTCTGTCTGTCTTTTTTTTTTCATCTCACTGAGTCTTAGTCTCTTCATCTACAAAATGTATATAGAGTAGGTAAGAAGATAATGGTAGAATTATGGTCACCAAAGTTCCTCTTAATGTTGTACATTTATAGCCAGAACAAATTTGATCTTCTATGGCCAAAGTCAGACTGAGTCTCATAATGCTAGATCACTGTACTGATTACCAAACTACTCCAAGAGAGCAGAAAGAAATGAAACTATACAGAATTCCATATTTTTTTTTAAAAAATGGCAGTACAAAGGCTTAAAAATTAGCAGTATTGTTACTGAACAGATAAGAAAAAGATAATGAAAGAAAAAAGTCAGGAACGACTGGGAAAACTATAAATGAACTGTAAATGAAAACTTATTTTCTAACAACAAATTTAACTTTTTGTAGGGCAGCATATACATTGTAAGATCTTTTTATTGGTATTACCTTTAATGCTTCAATAACAGCTGGTGGATAGCTCAGTCCAACCATGTTTGATGTCCGTCTATACATTCTGGCAAAGTCAGAAGGAAAAAAAATGCAATATTATATCTTACAAAGAAAAATTAGCAGGCCACAGAGTTATACCAGTATTGACAATTAATAAGAAGTCATATCATCTGATAAACCCAAGGAATATAAAATTTATTTTACAACCCTTCTCATAGTCATTCAAGGGGCTTAAATGTTCAATCAAATGAAACTAAAGCAACCCCAAACATGTAAACCATTGGAAACAAACAAACAAAAAATAAGTCTATGTGACCCAAATGAAGTTATTAAAATGAGTCTCCTCTTCTTCTGGAAGTGAATTATAGTGTAGCACAGACAGTATGTAATGTATTACTTTATCCTGAAAAAAGAACTCCTATGGGGGACCCATTTAGAAGAGATTTTTCTTTAGAACTTAAAGATTAAAGAGAACTCAAAAAGTTCTCAAAAGAACTCAAAAACTAAAGAGAAAAATGTCCCAGGTAAACTTTGAGCCAACCACAGCATTTCTAAAACATGTAATTGCGTAGTAAGGATTGTAGGACGAATAAATCAATTTCTGGAATCCATTTCTGGGGATAGGGGCGATTTAATTTCAAAGAGCAAAGTGACTTACAAAATTGGAAAGTGTCATGGGGAACTCAAACCTCTTGACTGAACTTCTCCCTGGATCAATACCCTCACAAAGCATCTTTGACCTGTTTCAAATGTAGACATCATCCACGTATGTCAAATAATGATGATAAGATATGTCTTTTTTTAAAAATCAGAGGCTGAACTCAAACTAAATCTTAACGTGAACAAAAAGAACTCCAAGCAAAGGCAAAAAGCTTGTGCTAGTGATGCTGCAGAGATATGTTTTTCTATCCCTTCTTATTCAAGACTGCTTCCACCCAGAATTTTTAGTATTTATAAAGATACCAAACCTACATCAAAGCAAAGTCTTCAGTGATGAGAAACCAGTGTCCCTTCCGCTGTTTTGGTTACTGAATGACAGACATCTTTACCTCTCCACAAATATCCCAGCCTGCACTGCGTGGACGATGCTCTTGAACCGCGGCTTCTCCTCACTCCTTCTGAGCATCATCCCCATCTGCCGTGTGAAGGTGGAAGCCAGCCAGTCTCGGACCTCAGAAGGCACTGCATCTGACTGGATGTCACTGAGCTCATCCTCCGTATCCAGGAGTCGCCTGGGCCCAAGAAACAGCACCGCAACACGGATTAAATCTGAAGTTAAGAGCTCCCTGTTCAAAGCAGCTGTTCCTTCTCGCCAACCCACTGAATACACAGGCGCAAAAAACCCAGAATAAATGGGCCACAAAAAATCTAGTACTTTTTTGGGCAAGGCTTGTGAAAGCCCACCATTTGTGTTTCAGGGTGGTTTTCTCTACCAGACTGCATAAATGAACCAAGGAGTCCGAGAAGGTCAAATAATCTTCATCTCAGGCTCTGTGGGCCTGATCCACTGCACTCAGGTCCAACCAGTATCTTTACTGCTTGATGATTTGTGGAATTTGAATGGAATCTAAACCTCTCATTTAAAATGTATTCACAGGATTTATTTCATAGGTGGCCAAGTGACATTATTTTGTTTGAAAATAACGGCACTTAAAAACTATAGACAACACTGTGGCTGATTTATGTTGATGTATGGCAAAAACCTTCACAATATTCTAAAGTAATTATCCTCCAATTAAAACAAATAAATTAAATTTTAAAAAGTGATAAACAACAATACTTTATTACAAACTTCAAAGCTGTGAAGACCTTAGATCTTAATTGTTCCCACCACAAAAAAAATAATAAATTATGTGATGTGGTACAGATGTTAGTTAACCCTATGGTGGTAATCTTATGGTAGTAAATAAATAGAACAACACATTGTACACCTTAACTTTTACAATGTTACATGCCAATTACATCTCAATAAAACTAAATTTTAAAAAAGAAAAAAAAAAAGACTTTGCAAAGTATTACTCAAATCACATCAACTCAGTCTTCTGAAGTAATAAACCCAAATGGCAAATACTGATACCCTCTCTAGCTTAAAAGGACATTACAAAAACTTAAATGTCTAAATTTAAGCAAAATTTCCTAAATAATTCAGCTCTTTATTTGAGAACAGTGATTTGTCATGTGTACCTAGCAGACTTTTCAGACCTAATCATGGATTAGGCTAGGATAGAACATAAATAGCAATAAATTACAATACTGTAAAACTTTGAAAGTTGTACTTTATACTTATATTAAGGGCTACTAAAAATAAGCAGTAAAAGCAGGTGTCAATGAGTTTTTTTTTTTAGATCTTCCAATTGGAAGGTAAGGGAGAAATATACAACATTAAGTAAAAAACAAAAAACTATGGTATCAAATTTCCTTAAATTAGGGAACAAGCATAGCACCGAAACCTAAGCCACATGATTCTTAAATTACTGGGAAGTCTTATCAGATTGAAATTAGGCATAGAAAGCTTAGACATCAAAAATGCTAACAGAGGAGCTTCTCTGAACTAGATAAAATAAGAAAAGCCTTTCATATTTACCAATTCAATGTTTTTCAAAGAAAAGCAATTGTTTTTTTTACTTTCAAACACACTTAGTAACTGGAAATGCTTTGGTACTTATGGATAACTCAAGTGAAAAGAGTCTTCTAAGAAAATCAATAACATATCAAAGGACTGAGGGAGGAATACTGGGTGTTTAAGAGAACAAATGCTTCTTCAACCCTTCAAAACCTTCCATTTACAGATGGACATCATGAATTAAAACTTGAATGCAATTTTTAGGCTGAGATGAATAATATGTAATAATTCCAGAAGAACTCTACATTTGATTAGAAACCTAGTAATCCTTTTATAAATGAGGATGTACAGAAGATATGTGATATCCAAATCTACCCCAATTGTGAAAACTAAAGCTCAAATCAAACCAGTCATTTGAATGTTACCACCTACATGCCATGAGGGACATTTCAAAAAGTCATATAATAGAAAATTTATCATCGACTTCTTGCCATTTTAGCTCACCTGGTTTCATCAATGTACACAGATTCAAGCACGGAGGCTGCATATTCCAAATTCTTCTTGAGATCTACGACTGAAGCCTCCCCTCTCTCTAATTGTTTGACCAAAGATCGTAACCTGGAGGTGGGGGAAGAGACATGATTCAATTAGAATAGAAGAAACAAAAAATAACCATACAATTACAGTGAACAGTTTATAGCCATTAAATGTTTGTATTTATCCCAATACATACGAAAGGAAAATACAAATCTAATGATGAAACCATTATTTCTCAAAGAAGCAAGTTATAAAATAAATTCACACATTTTTTTCCCCACTATGAATCAGGAACAAAAATGTTCTCATCTACCAGGACTGACCTTGTCCCATACTTTCTAACCACCTTTCATCTTTCTAACAATTTCCTAAATTATCAATAATTTTGCTTCTTTTCTGATTTTAATTCTTTTTGGTCTTAATTGGATGGAGTAAAGCATGACCAGCAACATCACCAAACACTGCTTCAGTTGAAGGTACTTTGTTCAGCTGTGACCATATAGAATATCAGTCTTATGGCCCACAGGTGTTCCAAGACAGGCTATGAGACTTAAAGCACCAAAATCACCACAGAGGGCTGCAGAAAGAATACAAGAAGGCAAGCTCTTTTACTGGACAGGAAGAATTACTCTGGTGGTGCTTGTGGTAGTGATATAGATGCTAAGTCATGTCCGACTCTTGCAATCCCATGGATAGAGGAATCTGGCAGGCTATAGTCCATGGGATTCTCCAGGCAAGAATACTGGAGTGGGCTGCCATTTCCGTCTCCAAGAATTACTCTAGGAGCAGATAAATACCCTAGTTTTGTTTTTTAAAGGAGGATGGATGATAAAACGAGGTACTGAGGACAAGACCTTCCCACTGCTCTTCAAGAATTCCCTGGAGTAGGAAATGACAACCCATTCCACTATTTTTGCCTAGAGAATTCCATGGACAGAGGAGCCTGGTGGGCTATAGTCAAGGGATCCCAAAGAGTCAGACACAACTGAACATGCACACATGCATAATTCAAGAGTTCCAGACAGTGTAAGAGAAACAATAAAACTCTCCTCTTACTTATATGAACATTATCCCCACAGAGAAGGACTTCCTACATATGAGAACAATAAAATGCCAACAGATTATCAAAGACCAGAAACTGGGAACACTGTAAATGCCACAGAGATTTGGAGATTGCACAACTCTTCAGGCTGTTTGACAGCCAGCAAACAACGACACTTTGAGGACAAGGTTAAGTTTGAATGTATTTGGGTTTCCCAGATGGCACTAGTACTAAAGAATCAGCCTGCCAATGTAGGAGACCCAAAAGATGCAGGTTTGATCCCTGGGTCGTGAAGATCCCCTGGAGTAGGAAATGTCAGCCTATGGTTTTTCCAGTAGTTATGTACAGATGTGAGAGCTGGACCATAAAGAAGGCTGAGCGCCGAAGAATTGATGCTTTTGAACTGTGGTACTGGAGAAGACTCGTGAGAGTCCCTTGGACTGCAAAGAGATCAGACCAAACGATCCTAAAGGCAATCAACCCTGTATATTCATTGGAAGGACTGATGCTAAAGCTGAAGCTCCAATACTTTGGTCACCTGATGTGAAGAGCTGGCTCATTATAAAAGACCTTGATGCTAGGAAAAATTGAAGGAAGGAGAAGGGAACAACAGAGGATGAGATGGTTGTATGGTATCACCGACTCAATGGACATGAGTTTGAGCAAACTCCGGGAGATAGTGGAGGACAAGGAAGTCTGGCATGCTGTAATTCATGAGGTCAAAAAGAGTCAGACACTACTTGGCGACTAAAGAACAACAACGCTTGCTAATTATAATCATCATGTTGTATATAGATCCCCAGAATTTATTTATCTTATAACTGGAAGTCTGTGCTCTTTGACTAACACCCCCCATTTACCACTATTTATTTTAAAAGGCATTTGATATCATTATTGCCATTGTTGTTATTCAGTGGCCTTGGTCATCACAGGTAACCACATGAGAGTCATCCTATCTAGATATTTAAGATTATTATCGAGTCTCCATTTCCTAAGGCCATTTCCAGTTTTTTTACTTCAAAATATTCTTGGGCTTGCATTCATAAGGGAGGACAGGTCAGCTTCTCCACAAGGCATAAACTACTCCCCTCCAGACCTACATGAAAATGATAAAAAATAACGAAGGACGAAAAGCTCGGGGTCAACCTTAAAAAGTAGACAAGAGGGTCAGCCATACAAAAGAAATTTCCAGGAATTTCAGTGATGTAAAATACAAAAGAAATTAGATGGAGGGTAGTGGCGAGCTGACTTGTGAATCTCCATCACACAAAAGGGAAATATGCAAAGGAAATAAGCAGAGGCCTCTGCACACTTGGAGGTGAGAGTCAGCCTGTGGATCCCATTAGCAGCATTAGGAAGTGTTCTGGTTTCCCAGGCAGCCCGAGACAGGGAGCTGGCATGGAAGGGTGTACCAGTCACTCACACACAGTGGACAGCCAGCCTGCCAAAGAATGGGGAGACTGCAGACGCAAGCCCTGAGAACTGTTCCAAATAAGGAATGGAAGCTCTTCAGCAAACTATGTTCCTGGCTAAGTCTGCCTCTAATTCTGACTCTCACCTTCGGAAGCCAAACTACCCACTAGGCTGTTTGGACTCTCCACTGGCAAAGTAAAATGAGGGTAAATGTAAACTTTCTAAAAACTTTCTCCCTTAACTTAAGGCTTAAAGATTCTATCAGGGTTTGACATGACTCTCAAATAGGACCCATCGCAGTTCTCAAAACCTAAGAGAAGACAAAACACAAAAAATTATGAGGGAACATATAAAACTAATAGAAGTAAGAACCAGATGATTCTCTCTTCCTACAAAAGGACATCCCTAAGAAACAAACAGAAGCAGCTTTAATCAAGTAAGTTTTCCTAGATTGAGGAAAAACCTTTATAAGCAGATCAAAAGGGATCAAATAAAACCAGAAAAAAAACCCAACATATTCTGTTGTAATTTTTTATCTCTGAAAATTAAAAAAAAAAGAAAGCATTAAGAAAAATATATTACTTATAAAGTAACAAAAACTCAAGCTAGCCATAGACTTCTACCATGCCAAATATCAGAAACCAAGTTAATAACAATACCAGTTTTTGAGAATAATACAGTGTGATTCAAGATATCTCGATCTCCCTATGGGTTTCCCTGGTGGCTCAGTGGTAAAGAATTGCCTGCCAAATCAGGAGACACAGGAGACATAGGTTCGATCCCTGGTCTGGGAAGATTCCCTGGAGAAAGAAAGAAAGAAAGAACCTACTCCAGTATTCTTGCCTAGAGAACTCCATGGACAGAAGAGCCTAGCGGGCTACAGTCCATGAGGTCACAAAGAGCTGTCACGACTTAGCGACTAAACAACAACAACAAATATTCACCTATATTTAGTATAATTGTCATGTATATTTAAAGCCAACAAATATATTCTCAGGTATGGACAAGCTCAAAATTTCATCATTCATATGCTTTTACAGAAAACAAAAATGAAATACTTTAAGGCAAACTCTGGGGCAGTGACCTTTCAAGGAGGATAGATTTGTGGGTCTCCAATTAAATGGATTCTGGATTTATGACTTAAATGTAACAAAGCCAATCTTAACAAAATGGACAAGTAGTTTAAAAACATTAAAAAGGAGTGGCAGGTGAAATATAATGCACATTACCCTTCCTTTCTAGGCAAATACCTATTCCTAGTATAAATGCTTCCTATGTCACTTTTATGAACTAAAAATTAATTATAATCAGTCAAAAATGATTGAAATTACTAAGAACACTATATGGAATATCACTTTATATCCATTCTTATTAATAATTCCCAATCCGGGGAAAGTACAGTATTGGGAGAATTAAGTCATGAAAGTACAGTATTGTGTGTGGATCAAGTCATGAAGAGCTGCACATCAATCTGCAATATGTAGTCCAGGACCCCAGGCCAGACCAGAGGTGGTGCTCCCACTCAGCAGTTCAGATCAGCAGCACCACAAATCATCTCCCCAGAAAGCCCCAAGCATCATGTCACAACGAGCAGAAAATCAGCAGTGTAGGGCTTCAACCAGATATAGTCACCGGTGGAGCTGGCCAGACACTGAACACAGCCACACTTATGTATCCAGTGTAAGCCAACCAGTGTGACCCACTGGATTACAACCCACTGGATTACAACAATTAATCCAGCCTGACTCAACAGAGCTGTAAACAGAAGCAAACCCCTAGCCCAGTGGCTTCTACAAACCCAGAGAAGAAATGACACAAAATAAAGTATCTTCAAAGGGTTGGGAGGGAGGTTGGCGGGAGCTTCAAGAGGGAGGGGACATGCATAAACCTATGGCTGATTCATGCTGATGTATGGCAGAAACCAATACTACCTTGTAAAACAATTATCTTTCACTTAAAAAAATAAAGTATCTTCAAGATGCCTAAGACTTACTAGAAATTCATTATCAACTCCCATCTCTCTAGATGATGAGATGAATGAAAGATCCACCAACACCCTGGGAGACATGAAGGCAACCCATGACAACACACCCATGGTGTTTATGGAAAACACCCAAAGACATTCACCTCTTTTTATTCAAGGACAACTAACCAGGAAAAAAGAATTCCAAAAAGATTCAGCAATTAAAAAAAAGTAGAGAATCATCTTCAAATTGCAGAGAAAGGACTCACTTTTGAAAAGAAGATTCACTACTGAAAACACAAGTAAGTTTTAGAGAGCATCTGCTTTGTGTTCAATAAAATTCAAGAAAACAGATCTGAGAAAGCTGAAATCATAGGTAATAAAAGTGGACATACTGAGAGAAGAAGAAGTTAAAAAGAAACGAAATACGACAACAAAAAGACTATAAGAACTTAAAAAAAAATAGTGACCAACTTTATATATCCAGCTCCTATTCGGACTGGCACCTGTCACAGGTGTAAGTTACAGCTTTCCCTGTCCACATAGCTGCTGGTGTCCTGCCTTATGCAGCTGCCACACAAATGGAAAGCCCTGGTAGTTCAGCCAGTAAAGAATCTGCCTGCAGTGCGGGAGACCCGGCTTTGATCCCTGAGCTGGGAAGAT